TTATGGTAAATACGGTAATATTTTCGCATATAAATAAATGTATACAGTAATAATAATAAGTTATAAAATTTTAAGCATAATTATGTTTATTTATTAAATTAATTAGTTTTATAATGCATTAAATGTAAAGTTTAAAAAGTTTAAAAAATGAATATTAAGTTAAAGTATGTTTTAGTTTCGAAAATTACATGAATTACAGAGAGAACTGAGATGTAGAAACATTAGGGGCATTTGCGGTCCACCTGAGCCTTACCGCCCTCTTCATACTCCTGTTTGGAAATCCACATTTGCTGGAAAGTGCCCTAAATATAGACAATAGTTAGTTAATCATTGCAACCAAACATTATGAGTGAGCGCTTACAAGAGATGCTAAAATAGAGCCACCAATCCATGCGCCATAACGTCTCTCCGCCGTCGAGTTAGTACTCAATACCTTAAGTCTCATACTCTGGAGAAGAGTTAAGTAAAAATAGATTCAATTTAGTTCGCAATTAAATTAACAAACGGTTGTATTCGACATACGGGAGGGGTTTTGGTGGTTAAGTCACGACTGAGTCGATCTGTGAAGCCCTGTATGAGAGTATTGCCTCCCGTCGTGATGACGGAGCCATAAAGAGATGGTAATTAACAAACGGTTGTATTCGACATACGGGAGGGGTTTTGGTGGTTAAGTCACGACTGAGTCGATCTGTGAAGCCCTGTATGAGAGTATTGCCTCCCGTCGTGATGACGGAGCCATAAAGAGATGGTCTCATATCGATGTCACACATGCCGACACTTGTGGTGACAATCTGTGACATTCCCATCACTGATGTATTGACACCTTTAATGTTTGAAGTGTCAAAAAGTGATTCGGGAATTAGGAATCGCTCGGAACTGAAGTCTTGATTATATCCATTGGGGAACTCGTAGTGAATGGTCGGCATATTATCGGCCGTTTCCTTCTCATACGGAGAGTCACTCACTTGAAGGACAACCGCCTGGAAGTCCTGAAGCGCTTCCTTTACCATATAATTATTCCACGTCTTTGTTAGCCCTTCGGTAGGAATGGTTGATCTTCGGGTCCATTTGGCCGCTTCTCCTTCTTTGACCACTTCTTTGGCTCCGACGGCATAATAGGGCACTATTTCGACATTTTTCTCGTCGAAATAGTTCTTACACTGCATTGTAATGAAGTCACCGGCGAGTGGGCTCTTCACGATCGCCTGTTGGATGACATACCCGTCGTGTACGGGAACGGCCGACGTCTGACTCGCGCCCGAATCCAAGACAATGCCCGTCGACTTCCCGTTTGCAAAGGCGGCCAAAACTGCATTCTTCACCAGAAAAAAGGCCGGAATTCCGTACTTTTCAAACATAAGTTCCGTTAACTTCTCTCTCTTTGTCCTTATGTTCCACTTTTTGAGACAATTATTTCATTAAAACATTTCTAAACAATAAACTCAACACAAAACTCACCGGCGCTTCCGAGAAGAGCACCGGATGTAACATAGAGTCGCTCTTTAAGTGCTTTTTGTACACATAATCCATAAGCTTTTCAAACAGATCCCAGTCTTCGACTAAATTCAAAGTAATTTAAAGATAATAAAGAGATGAATGGTATGGCCGAAGACATACTCATGCCGTCCTTCAAAAAGGTGGTCATTTCCATCGCTTTTCGGGGCGAATGAATAGATGTGGTGTCTATGAAGTACTTCTTCTGACTGGTCTGTTGGCCATCGATGTCCATAGCATTGGATTCAAGCAATTCGTTCAGCACTCCAACCATTGTCGGGATCTCAGTCTTCGGCGAGTCTTCGCCGGCATATCCGCCGCGGAATGAGTAGTGGCCGACATCGAAGACGAGGGCTCCGACTTCATCTGCAAACAACACAACACATGTCATTATCACCGCTTCCGGGTCTTCGCAAGACAACCCATACCTCCGCCATAGACTCCGCCACTCATTGTGTCCACAGATTTGATTGCAATTCAATGCAAACAATTGTCACGAAAATAATGTTTTCAAACAATACACCAAAAGTAGTGATCTTTTCAATGCGATTACACGACTATTATTTCAATGCCAGCACTTCTGCTATACATTCCACTTCACGGCACGACTCATGCAATACGTGTAGTAATGCTAATATTGAATAACATAAACATTATTATAGGTGTGAATAGACATTGAAAATATATTACTCATATACCAAACGGTATGGCATTTTAACATTAGCTACGAATGCCGGGACTCGGCTTTACATTTATTTTTACTAATAAACGTAATTTATATTTACTAAAAATGGCTAAATTGACCATGTTGGTTTTGTTAATTATACTTTTATTTTATAATAATTTTGAAACATTATTTAAAACTATACTAGTATTATAAATTGAATAATATGCCTATTTTGTTGTATACTTTGTACTTAATAGAAATATTTTTAATTAAATTATATGATTAAATAAGTTTCCATAAATAACGTATAAAAATAAAACTAATTGTTATGATTGAAAATAATGATAATTTTGTTTTGTATGAATAAATGCATTGTTTGTTAAATCTGTTGATTATTTATATTAAATTTTGTGTTAATTTATAAGTATTTGTATAT